TTCCTGGAATGTGTGAAGGATAACTTCCTCACGCAGCTGGTGAGTGAACTGGCCAGGGAAGGCGCCCTGCTGGACCTCCTGAGAAGGTCTTGTGGAGGATGTGGCAGCTGGAGGCTGGTGAGTGGAGATGATTTTCAGGCCACTTTCATAGCTGAATCTGATGAGTGTTTATAGTTGACCCCACTAAATGTACTCATCTGAGTGAACCATGACAGGTCAGCTCGGTTTTTGGATATAAGGTGTGCCCTTCCAGCCTCACAGTTCCCTGCTACATCTGGATTTCCATCTCATTTGTTTTCCACTTCTGCCATCTGCTGCTCACAAACACTGCTTAGCCCCATATCCACTTTTTAATCCCTCAGTTCTCTTAAGATATACTTAAATGCAATGAAGAAAATCTGTAATCATCACTGAGGCAGATGTGGCTCCTCATTGTACTACTGACTGGCCTAAGCAGCACAGCTTCCGCCTGGGAAAAAGCAGCTGGTATCCACTGCTTCAGCTGCGTTTCATAAATCTCTTCCCTTGAAGGGTTATCTCACAGCTGTACCATGTGTGCCCTGGACCTGCACTACATTCCACGATGTCCAAGTTCAAAGGTATCAAGACTACTGATAGATGGTCCCTGAAGATTGTTCTGCCTCTGCTATGAGGAATATTGTAAAGTACTTTCTGCTGCTTAAACACACAGGTTCCTATCTCACAGTTCTGTGCCAGTGACAGGAGAAGCAGTGTTAGTTGTGGTAGAGAGGCTATTTACACAGTAAAAAAGGCCTGAATTGTGACAAACCTGGCGGAGCAACTCCGTATCTCCGGAGCCTTCTGAAGTCTTCTTACTAAATCCCTTTAGCAGTTTACCTGTGAATACCCAAATATGGGTGGTTGTAAGATGGTGAGGTGAGTTAACCCTGGCAGGCAGCTAAGCACCACACAGCTGCTTGCTCCCCACCCCATGCGGGAGCAATATGTAAACATTTGGTGTGTTATCGATGTTTTGGTCACCAGGCTAAACCACACCACTATACTGGCTGAAATGAAGAAAATTAACTCCATCCTTCATGGTGCCCAGTGATTGTAATGCCTGCTTCTGGCAGCTATTTTCTGCTTCTGATGGAGTTTTTAACCTTCCATAGGATCTACAGCTCACAGGTGAGTTTTGGGAAGAGTTTAAATATATGGTTCCCATTGAGCAATCTGTGAGTATTTGGAAAAGAAAAGCTCAGTGCTGAAAGTTCCTAGAGATGCTCTCCAGTATGACTGATAGGAAAGGAACAGATGAATCATTTCCTTCTCTCAAGTGAAGTCCACCTGGCTTTGTTGTTCCCCTCACTATTTAAACCTGCCAGCTGTGTGATGACTGTATGCCAGACAGCCTCTCCAAAGGAATATGGACATTGATGTCCACCAGGTTTGGGGTACTTATTGTTCTGCCAAGTGCTTTGGCACAGCACATGCATTGAAACAAAGAGGTAGAAATGAGGCAAAATCAGAAAAATAAATATATAGAACTTCTGTGATTTGACATGACTGTAGAAGGATTGATTAGAGTAGAAAATCATAGACAAAATACAGATACATTCACTTGCAGCTTTTCTTTCTTCACACTGACTCCTCATGAAATATATTTGATCCCCTTCTCTGATTTCTGTAGCCTCCCCCGTAAATGTGGAGCATTATATTACAAAGGTATTGGGATGTTTTGTTTAGCTAAGAAAAATTAATATTAAAGTAAGAACACAGGTAAGTCCCTCCCACTAACCACCTATTCTTCACTTCGCCTGGGTCAGGGCTCTGCCCACACGCCCTTGTGGCTGGCTGTCATTCCACTTTATTGTTCGGAGTCAAAATCTAAAGCTCACCCAGTAACAGCAGGGTGTCACCAGTTATCTTAATCATTTATGTTTCAGTTTCTATATATGGAAATTGAACAAGAGTCTCAGTGAACTATGATGATGCTGAGTAACCTTCAGGGATAAAAAAGCCGTGGGTAGGTGTGCTTATGGATCAGAGTTGTTGTTGAGCATTAGGGCTGGGCCAGCTACTGAATGCTGAAAGATGCACTCTAACACATACCCCTCCCCAAACTGGAAGGGAAAGGGAATGAAGCAGAGAGACTTAACGGATTGGAAAAGAAAACTAAACCAGCTTTAATAAAACATTAATAGTACTGTTAAGGGAATAATGATATATGTACAAATATATATATGTATGCACAAATATACACAGATCTGATATCAAACTTGACTACCCCTCTCCCTCCCCAATAGCAATCCCCACTGATGCTGCAGGGCAGGTGGCACCGGGGAAGCCCCAGGCTCAGCAGCAGAGGGGAGCTGGATACAGGAGCTGGTGTCAGGAACTCAGAATCAGGATCAAAGGCAGAAGAATGGACAGAGTCCTCCTCAGACATTGGCCTTTGAAGAAAAGAGCTTAACCCTGGTGGTCCCTCAGCTTTATACTGAGTATGATGTATGTGGCATGGAATACACTTTTTGGTCACCTATCCTGTCTGTAACTCACTGGAATTCTAGATTTCCCAGGATACTGGAAAAATCTTATTCTTTTTACGTCATGGAACTGATCTGTTGTGATCAGTAGCTCCTGCAGGTTGGCTCAGGTCTTGCTCTCAGGGTACCCATCTAGGTATAGAGCTTTTCTCAGTTTTGAAGTTTCATAAATATCTGGGTGTCCTCCCCAAATAAGCTGTTCACTGCCATAGCTTTCCTGGATGGTGGAGTTAGCCTGAGGGTGTCTGCCTGGTTGCTGACCACAGCTATAAAAGTGTCCTCACCCATTGAGGGTCTTCCTTGTTTATGTGAGGACCCAGGTTCAAGGGTGTACGAGTGGTCCTTGGAACTTCATAGAATGGTCCCGTGAAGGAGAATGGTAGTAACCATCACCACTTGACCCATATAATCACAAGGTTTTGCAGATGATGTCCTCTGTTTCCTTCTCTCTACTGGGTTCTGGAGATAACCTGGGTTCAAGAGAAGTTATCTGCCATGCCACAGCTATGTGACAGGATGCCATTTATGTAGATGCTCTTTCTCTTTTAGGGCATTGGGGTGACTAGAGAAGAGTTGCTTTTCTATTCTGGGGCTAGTGGTAATAAAAAGATATAATTCCCATTCTGCATTGAAAAAAAAAAAAAAGCTCCTCTGTTAATTCCATCTTATGGTAGGCAAACTTCTACACTTGCAGATCCACTTCTGAATGTGACTCACCCTATTTTGCTGCAGGAATTTGCTTTCGGTTTCACCTAGCAGGGCAACGTATTTGCATAAGAGCCAGTCACCATGAGGAAACAGTCAGCTGTGTAACATCAGCGACACAAAAGTTGTCTTCGGGAATAGAAACTTAAAAATCAGTGTAAGACGTTCCTCCTCCCACAGATGACAGACACATCAAGAAATATCCATGGCTGCCATCACCAGTAAAGGTGAGTACAAGTGTGTGAAAAGCAGGTCTATTTCTCCATATTCAGTGTAGATATTTACAATAATTGTATCTAAGGAACTGGTGAATGCAGATGACTATGTGTATTGGCACATGAAGATACATCAGAGAGACTTGTGGATTTGTGTGGTTTTTCTCTTTAAATGCATTATGGTATCTTGAGTCTTAGGTCCAGCTTCAAAACATTAGTATCATTTTGTTAACCCTGATGTGGCATTGGGCAGGAAGAATTCAATTTTTTCAATGGAATAAACAACTTGAGAATGTCCCTCCAAGAATTAGTGCAATAAGACTGTGCAAAAAGTGGTCGAGGTTTCTGTTGATGTGGAAAACTATTTTATTCCTAAAAAAATGTAATTTCACTGTGTACATTTCATCTATCTTCATCTTAAAGAGCTAAAAGCTATGGAAAATTGCCTTTAGTATCTTATTCCTAAGTAAATTCATTATTTTCTTCAATAAAATGAAGATCCTTAAGTTTGCTATGGACGGACTTTTACAAAAGAAATAACTAGCCTTTATCACTTGCAATTGTTTTCATCTAGTCCCTCAGCTGGGAAGGGGTGAACGAGGCATAAAGTAAAACTTCTTTGTCATCAGGAGAGAAAAAATGTATGCAGTCAGGCAGGTTTGTGAACTTGTTAGAAATGACCTTTCTTTCTGCACTGATATTTTTCCTTGGCACCGATATCTTTTCGGCTTTTGAAATAGTTTCATACTAAGAAACGAAAGAACTATTGGCTTTGAAAATGTTTTGATCTAGATTAACATTATGAGTTCCAACAGGAAAAGAACTCGAGTTTTGCCTAGTAGATTTGGTTTGGAGGGAGATTTGATTCTGCTCTTCTATAGGTAAGAGAAAAGCAGATGCAGTACTGGTGAAATCAGTAAGGTTAAACTTGAATCAACTCTAATGTATGAAAGTGAGCAAGGGTTCATGTACAGCGTAGTTTAAACAACCATCAACTTTAGCACTCAGGTAGAAATCCAGCACTTCTGCAAACCAGAGTGGCTATCCTGCTGTGCAGGGATTACCTACTAGTCCTTGTAGATAAAAGAGATTTGTCAGAGAGTGTATAGACTGAAAGGGACCTACAGGAGGTGTAGAAGAAATTTCGTTTTCTGATCTACTATCTGGAATGACTCATAAAACTTTTCTACATAGGTCCTAAACCCAGAAGGAAGAACCAAGGGTAAGAGATACCGTTCTGTCACTGTATGCTGCCTGGGCCCCATGGGAATTTCCAGAGATATGTCTTGTGCTTTGTTTTCTTCATACTGTCCTTTTCCTTAATCTCTCTAGTTGTCTCTCTGCTTTGGCCAGTGCTTATCTCAGAGTGGTGATGGGATTGATTACCCTCCCAAAATCTCTCAAGGAGGTGCAGTGAGTGCTTCACCAGGGCCGCTCTAGGTGAATAATTACTGAGCCTTCATCAAATTCCAAATGTAGATAATTAGATCGCAACTTTCTTCAAGCTGCTTATTTGTGATGGGAAAAGCTAAGAGTGTGAGACTTGGCTGACGTTGAGAGCGGGAAATACACAATGGCAGCAAACATCATTGAAGTTCCGGGATCATGGTGCTGCTGGTACTTTTGTCACAGGTGGAAGATACAGCCAGAGCACTTCAAAATAAATTATTTGCCTGGCCAACGTCCAAATGCGGTGTACCTGCTGTACGAAATCAGGTGGAGCAGAGGTACCATCTGGAGGAACTGGTGCTCAAACAATCCTACCCAACATGCTGAAGTCTACTTCTTGGAAAATTGTTTCAAGGCACTGCCATCAGTTTATTGCTCCATCACCTGGTTCCTATCTACTACACCCTGTGGGAGATGCTCCAGAAGAATTCTGGAATTCCTGAGGGTACATCCTAATGTGACCTTGGAAATATACGCAGCCCGGCTGTTCAGGCATCTGGATATCCGTAACCGGCAAGGTCTTAGGGATCTGGCAAACAATGGAGTCATGATACGTATCATGAATGTTGAAGGTAACCCAACTACTCTTTGGCTTTGTCTAGGTGTGGATTCAAAGTTCTGGGTTTATGTGCATTCTCAGCAGTTGTGCTTTGTACTAGTGGTGATGACTGGCATTGGGGAGGACTAGTGAGTACCACTCTCTTCTGCCTTATTTCTTCCCCAGTCCCATACAGCAGCAGGACTAGTGTGGTCATTTCCTCTTACCAAATCTGAACAAGGACAGTTATGTCTTTCTCTAGCCATCCATGTCCCTTTATATACAGTGAAAAATCCTGAGCATTCCTCCTGGCATGTATATACAGATCACCTTGCCAGTTGCAGCAAGTCATTGGTTTCCCTTGGATGCTGGAGATGAGGAGACATACCTAAAGGACACTTTCAGATGATGCATCACAGAGGACGTGTCTTATATGTGTCTCTTTTTGTATGTATATCTTGCTTGCCTGTTGATATTTGGCTGTAAAAATAGTTCAGACAAGCAGCTCACAGAAAGAAATGTACATTTGAAGTGACAAATCTCATAATCCTGTCAGGATACTGGAGTGTGCAGCGACCAGGTCAAATGTGAACTTAAAGGACGTTACTTATCTTGGGGAACCTGTCTCTAGGATTATACCACCAGAGCACTGACAGAAGCTCTGTCTGTCCTATCAGTACTAAGAACAATATGAAACCGCTAAATGTTGGGATATTCACTCCAGGTTTTCCCTGATTAGACAGACTCATAACTGAAGCAAGTGTATTGTCTGACCTAAACCTGCTGTGCTCAAGCACAAGCCTGCCAAAAAGTATGTGAACAGCCTTGATTGCGTGTGTCACTTCCCTTTTCAGTCCCTCCCCAAGAAGCTGCCGGCCACTCACTGATTCCTTCTCCCTTGGCCTACGTGCTCTGGCTTTATGCTCTGACATGCTGCCAGTGATAGGGGTTGCCCAAGCCACCATACAGTGATCTCTGGCAATTCCCCTTTTAAAATATATCTCTGTGTTTAGAGTTTTAGTTCCCCTTTCCACTAACTAATCTGTGTAGTTGGAAGTCATTGTTAGTGCCTTGCATGAATACCCTCAATTGAATATCTTTCTCCTGCCCTTTACTTTTGTCTTACTGTGAAAGAAGTGCCGTATTTATGAAGAAAGAACTATGCATGCCTTTCATCAAGACTGACCGAATATCTTTCTTCTCAGATTACAGTTACTGCTGGAAAACATTTGTTGTACATGAGCACGGAAAAGATGAGTATTGGCCCCAGAGCTTCGCTTCACACATCTTTCTGAATTGGACAGAGCTCCATCATATCCTTTGGGTTAGTAAGCACCTGAAGAAAAAAGAGTGAAAAATAATGCAAAAATCCTAGGAAAAGGAGTTTTGGAGGGTCCTGGCAGTGGAGTTAGCAGAAATGATATTAGGAAAAATAAGCATGGGCCTGATGGTGCATGAACAGAGGGTGAAGTGGGCAAGAGATTGTCAATGACTATGCCTTTGTATTGTGCCTTTGTGGCCAGGAGTAAGGAAGAGATTTAGCAATACTCTTATTTTTTTTTCACTCAGGAAAGGGTAGAGTATTTCAAACCTTTACACAGATTAGCTACAAGATCATTAGCTTGCAGCTTACTGGAGCTATTTAATCCCCAAAACTCCTTTTGCTGTGTAAGTATGATTCAAGAACACTCTTTTTGCCTCTCTGGACAGGACCGCTGATTTTATTTAAGTTTGGAGCAAGTTCAAAAGGCCAGATGGGTGGATTCACTTTCAGCATCAGAGTTTACATGTAAGAGTGTCATATGGCTAAATTCTGCATTCCCTATTTCTTGCATACAACTGCAGAATTTATTTGTATAGCCTGATATCCTGCTGTACAAGAAAGAGAAAGTGGACTGCTAAACAGGAGAGAAGACCAGGACTGGAGATAGCTTTCTGGCTCTGCCACCCTTTATGACCAGTTATTGCTTGAACTGGTCCCTGTATGCAGAATGGGGGCAAGCAGAATGGACAGCAGGAGGTAAAGGGATGCACAGAACTATATAATACAGACAGGAACTTAAAATCTAGAAGGACAAAAAGTTTTAGCATGAAATAAATGCCTTGTTTGATTTCTGACTGAGGAAAAGTTATACGTTAGACTTCATTTCAGTTTCATCCACCCCAAATTTTACATAGATCTTTTAATACGTCAGGATCTGTCCTTTCTAGTTCTGGCTGTCTGAATGGTACATTCAGCTGACAGGATACACAATCAGTGGCATTTTCTAGTCAGATGATCTAACAAAGTAGTCAATGCAATGTAACCCTTTAGGATATAATTTCCCTTGACTTTCAGCCTTCCTGAGTCTCCTGATGTCTAAAATGATTAAATAATTTAGCAGCTCATGAGCAGTCAAATGCATAGTGGAATGCTTATCAGGGAGCTGAATAGAGCTGTCTGCTAAATGCTTCTGAGTACCAACAAGCTACAGCCAAATCAGCACACTTCCTGGGTAGCAGTACAAAGCCCTTCAGGACTTGGTTTCAAAGAGACAGGTGAGAAATGATTTGTCCTTCCCTGTGCCTCTTAGCAGCCTTGTTGGTTACTGCAGAGTCTTGGTGGTGAGGAAGCTTGCACTGGGACACCCATGCTGAAAGTCAAGCACTTGCTCAACTGCTTTGTTGTCTCAGCTGAACTCAAGCCACTCCAAAAATGAAGGTGAATGGGGCCCATTGTCAGTAGTTCTGACTAACTACCAACCCTCCACAGAAGGAATGGGAAGGTCTATGGGCTCAGCCCTTGTGAACAACCAGCCCCATTGTACTAACTGTGCAGTGATGTAGTGAGAGGAGTGGGTTCCAGGCATGTGCTACAGCGAAATACTGTTGTGTCAAATTCTGACTTCCCTGGCGTAAGAAAGACACTGAGGAACTGGAGATGGTTTGGTGGAGTACCACTGCCGTGGTCGGGGGGCTGGAGTACCTGCCCTGCAAGGAGACACTCAGGGAACTGGCTTTGTCAGGCCTGAACAGAAGGTTAAGTGGGATCTAACTGCAGTTTTCCACTACATAAAGGCATCAAAGACAAAGCCAGACTCTCCTCCAAGCTGCACAGAAGGAAAATGAGGCAACAGGCACAAGCTGCAATAAGGAATATTCCAAGTGGACAGAAGGAAGAAGCCTTCCCTGACAGTGGTACTGGAACAGGTGCCCAGAGAGGCTGTCAGACCTCCATTCCTGGAGACACTGAGAAATTTCCTCTGAGCTGCCAGATCTATCTTTGGAGCCAGCCATGCTGCAAATATATTGTTGGACTAGAGACATCTAGAGGGCCTTTCTAACCTGCAGAATTCTGCCTTTTCACAGCATCTAGCTCCATTTCTCCTGGACTGAGATAGACAATCTGCCACCTTTTAAATGCTTCTATTCCTAAGTGATCTGTCTTTCTAGGAGGGGTTTACATGGCACAGTAAATTCTGAGGTGCTACCCTGTTGTCTGGAAAGTTGCGTCCCAAAGGAGATTATCTAACATGCTGAGGGTGGATCAGAGAAATCTCTTGGACTATTTTCAAAGTCTGGATCATGTCGTAGAGGCAACTTAAGGTTTTGGGGTCTAATTTTTAATGTTCCTGTTTCTTTCTTCCTGCTAGGGTCTTCCTCCATTGCTGGAAAGCTGAATACCAACAAACATCAGCAGCATCCTTTCAAGCTCACTTTGCGCATCATAACATTATTTACAAAACCGGAAAAGCCAGTGCCTGGAAGTCTTTTCGATTCGCAGCCCTGAACTCTGAGCTTCCAAAGAAGTAATCAGAGCAGTGCATTCTGGTTTTGAGAATTTCTTATAAAGATCACTTTTTTTGGCTATGTGTGTATGTTTCAGAAAATACTTCATGTTATTACAGTATTTACGTAATATTAATTTTATTTTACTGCTTTTATTGCAACATAAAAGAATTAAGGATTATACTGCTTCACTTGAAGCTTTCATTATCCCTATTTTTATGTCCATTGAAAACAACAGAATACAAGGGAAAATGTCAGCTCTGTGGAAACTTCTCTTTTTGTGTTCAGTTCCTGAGCACACATCCTTCCATCCTCCACACTCCAGAGTCACAGAATCACAGAATGTTAGGGATTAGAAGAGACCTCAAAAAATCATCTAGTTCAACCCCCTTGCCAGAGCAGGATCACCTACAGTAGGTCACACAGGAAAGCATCCAGGCGGGTTTGAAAGTCTCCAGAGAAGGAGACTCCACAACCTCCCTGGGCAGCCTGTACCAGGGCTCTGTCACCCTCACAGTAAAGAAGTTTTTCCTAATATTTTTGTGGAACCTTCTGTGTTGCAGCTTGTACCCATTGCCCCTTGTCCTGTCATTGGACATCACTGAGAAGAGCCTGGCTCCGTCCTCCTGACACTCATCCTTGACATATTTATAAACATGAATGAGGTCACTCCTCAGCCTCCTCTTCTTTAAGGTCAAGAGACCCAGCTCCTTCAGCCTTTCCTCATAAGGCAGATGTTCCACTCCCTTCATCATCTCTGTGGCTCTGCGCTGGACTCTCTCAAGCAGTTCCCTGTCTTTCTTGAGCTGAGGGGCGCAGAACTGGACATAATATCCTAGCTGTTCATTGCAGACTGGGGCAACACAGTAAAAAAGTCTTTGCTTTCCCAGCTGGAAACACTGAATGGAATGGTGAGGTAGGAGATGTTGAAAACTCTGAGCTATCTCTACAAGCAGAAAGCAAAAAGGTGTGTTGGTCCTTGCAGAAGTTTTCAGCCGGCACTTGGAAATAAAACAAGCCACCTGAATGAATCACGTTGCGAGCTCCAGTTTTATGATTCCCAACCCCTCCAAGGAGGAAACCCATTGTGTGATCCCACTGGGGAATGTGCTGTTGCTGGGATCTGCAACATGCAGGCACACATGATTATTTGAAGAGTAAGGCAGGGGCTGGTGGGAACCATACCTATCTCTTCTAGTTGATTAACGCTTACAGCATCCTTTGGCCTTGCCAAAGTCTCCAGATGTTTAGCAGACAATCAAGCCAGTCAGAAAAGTTGCAGGCTAAGGAAGCAGCTCCAGTCACTACTGTCTGAGAGAGTGTATAAAGCTGATTGCAACTGGCTGGGGAATGTCTCCTAACCAACTAAATGTATAGCAGGG